TAAAGATTCCTTTTTAAGCTATTAATCAAAACATATTCGTTCTGATTTTCATTTGAAAGGAACCTGTTTGGCTGTCAAACCAACAAATAATGGGATAAAGAATATTAATAAAGCTCAAGTCACTGCTATTTCTTATACTAAATATAGTATAGAGTAAGCAGGGTCGGTCCACAGGAATACAGGACTTCTTATCTTGCCATATTTTCACACATAATACAAATAATATTAAAATGGGGGATTGTGTTAGAACTAGATTTAAACTTCATAAATAAACAAGATTGTTAACAGAATTTAGTAAAAGAAATACATTTCCGATTCTGATTCTTATACATGTATTATGTTGAAAGATGAAAAATGAATATGATTATGTTCTATCTAGGTTGGTAATTTAGATACTAATAAACTCTAATATCTAAGTTGACAAAAATTGTTTTATTCAAAACATGTTCTTCAAATAAAACTTCATTTAATTGATTTAATTCAAATAAGCTCTTTCTTTAAATCATTAAATGACTTTAAGTTCTTGCAACAATTACCAACAATATTCAATATTCCTCATAAGCTTGGGATTATGAACATTTAATCTTTGATTACACTCAGTTTGATTCAATTACAATCAATTAAGTGCATGTTACTAACATCAAATCATAAAACATATACGAATTTTACAATTTGATTAACTAGATTGATAAAAACCCTAATTCATTGATCAAGTGAAAAAGAGAATAAACCAAACACTTGATTAAGATCAAATCAAAGATTACTAGATGTTAAACACAAATCAAGTTCAAGTTACAACCTAACAACACATACTTAAGAATTCAGATTCGGAAATGATTTTGAAATCAACCACACATGTCTAGGTTAAACTACAAATCAAACAAGTTTAAACTTCAAATTGACTTACAAAAAGGAAATTAAAGTGTTTCCAAGTGTTAATCTACTTCCAAAAGCTCTGAAAATCGCCTTCTCTCTGCCCAAAATCCGACCTCCTCTCCAAAAAACCGATTGTCTCAATTATATGAGAGTAAAACTACTTTAAAAACTGTCGAGACGTTTACACGACCCGTGTAAATTAAAGGGTGCAATTTACACGACCGTGTAAACAAGAAAAGTAGAATGCTCCTGTATATGCGTTTACACGGCCCGTGTAAATTACAGGCTTCCATTTACACGGCCATGTAAACTCCTGTAAAACCAAAATCTTCATTTTCTTCATAACTTCCTCCTCGATGCTCCAATAGCCCTGAAATTTTACCCTCAACTCTTTTTAACCTCCTAAAGCAAGATCCAACCTCCAAAAGTCCCTGAAATATTACAAAAGTGTGTGAATGGAATTGCATCATGAAAAATCCCGAAAATATGCAAAATGCATGACTTTAAACCTAAATGCAATGTACTTTTATGAAATAAAGCTACAAAATGGGTACATGAAATGCACCTAACAGAACCATCGAAAGAAACCGTATATATATATATATATATATATATATATATATATATATATATATATATATATATATATATATATATATATATATTTGCCTCTGTTGCAAAAATACGTCACGTCACCAGCATGGAGGCGTCGCGTCCATGTGTGTCATTTTAGAGTCGGCCACGTAACTTGTTTCCTTGCCACATGTCTTATTCCTCCACCATGTGTCATGCTTCTGCTATATGTGTCCATCATCCGGGGCACATCGATATATCGTGTTCAAATAATTCACGCATCGTGTTATTTTGTTGACTTTCCATCGACCTGTTTAACTTGACCAAACGCTTTGGGTATAAGGCCTTAACGAGTAGTGTTCTCCCTTACATGTCATATTTAACTAAAAGCAAGCTTCATTTTTTCTCAAAATAACAATCTACTTTTGACGCATATGTCAAGACTAGCTCTACACGCCGTATAGAGTATAATAAAACACTTAGATTTTTGGTTCGTTACATCTCACTGCCCCTTAAGAAGATTCCGCCCTCGAAATCTTCCGTTCTCAAAATCTTTTCATAATTTTCTTAATCATATCTCTAATCTTTGACCCTTTTCTGTAACTAATTTTAACTTAATTAGTTTTGCATGTTATAGCAACTTACTTTGCTTTTTTCCTTGCATTCATATGCGATAATGCAAATGCAAAGCTTTCTTCATCAATCTACTTGTAAGGTAGATTATAACATATCACATCATATATCTTATCCTATTACAACCCATATGGTATACATATAACACCAATCATATATGGTCTTAGTTTTAAGCAACTACCAGCACACACTTTGATCCATTTTCACTATCCTGTACATGCTACAATTCTCCCCCTTTTTATAATAAATCTTGCTCAAGCTTCAAAAAAAATCATCATGTTGAAAAGTCACAATCTTCTTTCAAATGCCCATACCAAATTCTCCCCATTTTTATAATTGAAATATGATCATAAAACCTTCAAATAGGCATGAAAATGTCCTCAAATCGAATATATCAATGCTATACTCCCCATCGACAAGTGGAATAAACATTAAGCTTCAAAACTGAAAAAGTCAAAAAATGTGACAATTTTTGAAATATTGACTTTTCAGACTGCATTTGACTTGAATCAAAATCCAATATATACTATTCACGTGAAATATTCTTATGAAATGGAGGCGGAGACCATACTGTCCATGCTTGGCCCATGTTGCTGTAAGGAGTGACTCTCTTAAATGAGAGGTCATGGGTTCAAGTCTCGTTAGGAGACATAAGTGGTATTTTAGGCGCATGTTAGTTTGTCATTTCAAAAAGAAAAAAAGACTAGGTATGCAGATACTGTTGTTGTTGCATGAAGGGCTGTTGGCCATTGATTACGTCTGCTGCTAGCGACAGTTCCTAAGCTCGAACTACAGTTGTTCCTTCTTCCTCAGTTGTGGTTGTTTCCCCATAGTTTGATTAGTGAGTTTCAGTATTCATAATAACAGGAGTCAATGAGTCTAAGTGCGGGGATTACGAATCTAGTTGGGCTATGCATCACTCTTTAAGTAGGAGCATTAGCTGAGCCTCCAAGAAGGTAAGGAGTGGGGATCGATGACATATTAATGATGCAATGTAGTTGTATTTGGGCGTTAGATTGTTAATCATATATGTCACTATGTTCTTTTCAGGTACCGACCAATCAATGTGTGTAAGAAGTTCAGATATAGATTTGATCTGGGCCTGTAGTAGGAGGAGATGGTCCTGTCACCAATGGAGATGCTGTGTAGTTCGTTGTCAAGTTGAATTGAATTTTCATCCTTGTTAACACAAAATATATTTTGAGATTACGTCAGAAAGATCAGACAACAAAGTACCATCTTAAGGAGGGAGTGTAAGATCGTCCCATAAGTCTAGAATTTCCTAATGAAGTCAATATTTTTCCATTCTTGATGAACATGGTTAGAAGATCGAACGTCACTAGAGTCTTTAATGTGATCAATAACACTATAACACTGATATAATGGGTTTCAAAGAGTTCCATGCATACATCACAGTTCAAGCGGTCGAGGTCAAGGACTAATGGGAATAATGCCTTGATGTTGGTGATCCTATATAGTTTCTCGACGGTGGCTCGTTGCTTGGAGTAGTCAACATAGGCATGACAACTGTCGGAGGTCGAGAGACGTCGACAAAGAGATGCGGTTGATGTATGAGAGCTAGAGAGGCGGAGAGAATAATAAACAAAAGAATATTAACATTTTAGCTATGCATGTAGAATAATATTTTCCCATGAAATCCCTATTATATTAATTTACAATATATATACAAAATACAATGAGTCCAAGGCCAAATCAAACCGGAAGAAAGTGAGCCGTAAATCCCCTAAACACTAGTGTATTATACATGTGTATAGAAGATATTCGACCCACTTTGGGTCCGGTTTGTTTTGCCTTTGACCTATTGTATTTTGTAGATTCTTTGTGAATTAACGCAATAAAAGGTTTCATGGGAAAAGACTATTCTTGACTTACCACTAACATTTAATCCAACCTTCTTTTCAAGACATACTTCATGATTTTATACAGATAAACGATGAAGTCAAAGAGTGTTTTAAAGTTCATCCATTATATGTATGATATTTCAGTTGGGGCAGTACAACTATATACCGACTATAGGTCAAGAGGAAGTCAACATGGAAAGGTACAATTTGGAATGATACAAACAATTGTAAGTTTAAACCTATGTGTATTTGCATGTAAGTGTGCGAGTTAGAGACAAGTAAGAAAATTTGGTCAAAACCATTCCTGATTTTTTTCAACATTTCAAAGAAGTTGAAGCTTTTTATTACCCTAGGCCCACATCCGTATGCAAGTTAGTGAAAGTTTGATTGCTGATTTTTCATTTTTCATGGACAAAAACATATGATATAATCTTCGATTTTCATTAATTTAATTATCATCGTACAACGAGAGAGATGACAAACGGGTAACAAGCTGTGCTGCTAAGCCTTTTTGTATGGTAAAACTAATTATTTTGAAGACTACATCCATGAATCTAGGGGATATAACATTGCTATGCATGATCCGGAACCAAACATATCAAATGCAAATGGTATGAACACGTGTTGATTTTCCATGCACGATTTCACATGTTTGGTGATTTTGCTTATAACAACTTTTAAAGCGGTCTGTCCCGCCGTGAAACCCCCAATCCTCAAGCCCACGAGGGGGGATATCCATGTAAGGTCCAAACATGCGTGTTTCCCTCCAACCTATCTTCGATTTGATTTGATTTTTGGAATTTGTTAAAACTAAGTTTTGTATGGAAGTGTGGTTTGATTTAATGATTTTCATGGATTTGCTGAATTTATTTACTAGTTTCAGTTATAACAAGGTTGATCGGGCTTTTACGACCTGTTTCGGGCCTAACATTGGGTTTGTACGATCTGTATGAAAGTTCTTTATTTGGATTATTGGCCTACTCACATACACGAAAACAAAATTAAAGAAAGTACGTAGTTAACCAAGAGGTTAAATATCAAAAAAGATTAAAAAAAGGCACACTAATATATGGCTAGAACTAATACATACATAATTTAACCTCTAGTTATTAACTTAATAACTACTACAGTACTACCAAACTAATACCTATTATTGGTCATGCAACTGCTTACATTGATATCATGATGTTGAAAATGTTGGTGATGATGGCCATAAGAAGACATTGAGCTGCTACACTCTCCGACATCTTTTATCTCCTCTTCCTCCTCCTCAACCACTTCATTCTCCGGTGACACCGCCACGAAATGCGGCTGTGTCGCCTCACAAAAGGGTGGTGCCGCCAGTGGTGAAGACGAAACCGGAACGACTGATGGAAGTTTTGAGAGGAGGGCCTCAAGGCTGCTCATGGAAGGAGTTATGTTCAATGGTTGATTGTAAGCTGCCGGTAAATCGCTGCCACCACCACTGCCGCCATGGAAAGGCCATAGTTCAGGTGTGTTGTACCCTTCTGGTCTGAACGGGTATAGTGAGGACGATGGGTGTGGTAGTAGTACCCCTGGGATGCTCTCAATGTAGCTCAATTTCTTTCTTAGCATCACCACATAGCTCAAGTCTTCAATCACCTTTTGATTCCATTACCCAATTAGTGTATTTAGTGACAAAATAGATGCATACATTTAATATCATAAACTTATAAATAAATTTGAGGTAAGTTAATTATCACTTTTAAAGATGCAAGGTAGGAAATTGGCATTGAGTTGGATGTGCATGCAGGGGTATTTTTGTAATTTCAAGAAGCTCGCATTAGTATTATCAACCTAAAATAGATTTGGGGTATGCTAATGTCATTTTTAAAGATGCAAGTTTCAGACTTGAGTTAGATATGTGCATGCGGGGTATTGTTGTAACTCCATCAAGCCGAAGCCTTCAATCACCTTTTTGATAACAGTTTTTGTACGTAATCAAGAATTTAGTGACCCAAATAATATGCATATATAATATTTAGTATTATACTATTACCAACGTAAAATATATTTAGGGTATGTTAATTGTTATTTTTAATTGATGCAAGATAGGAAATCGACATCCTCAGAAACTTACACATGTTGTGCATGCGTGGGTACTTTTGTAATTTCACAAGCTCAAGTCTTTAGTAACGTATTAGGGACACAAAAATGATCAATGATATATTGAGTATTATGAACTCAAGATGGATTTATAGTGGCAACAAATTGTTATTTTCTAAATATGCATGGTAGAAAACTGACATTCTGTACAAGTACAACTTGAGTTTGTTGAGTATGCAGTGGTATTTTTGTAATTTCAGAAATTTTAGCAAATAGTATATGACCACCTTTTGATCCGATTTACAGGCAAGTACTTACTATTTAGTCGAGCAAGAAGCATACTATTTAGTATTATAGATTTGTCAAGACGAGTTTCACAACTTAAATATAATTTTCAGTCTTTTAAAAGTTATATATGTTTGGCTTTCAAAAGTCAAAGTTAACTACTTTATATTAACTATTATTGAAATCTCTGTATTATTAGTTAATATCTAGTTTATTTTTTCTAAATAAATAAATTTAGGTAGATGTAAGTGTTTTAATACTTTTAAATATAATTTGTGATAGAGAAAAACCTTGTGAATTGATCCCAGTTGGATAACACCTTCTCTAACAGCAACCAAAGCAATAGTCTGAGAATAAGAATTAAATTAAGTTGATTATATAGAACTTATAACAAGCTGCTTAAAAGTGTTGTACATAATGCACATTGTACTTGTACCTTTATACCGGCCTGAAACTGAGCCTCCCATGTCCTTGGATGCTATTTTTCAAGTAAATATAGAATAAATTAAACAGATAATAAATAAATAATAAACCATTTAACCCTAAATTAAAACGTTATACGAAAAAAAAACCCTAACACGTATCCAAACTAATTAACCATATATAATCACAAATAATTTTATGAACTTTAAAGCATTCATTGAACATATAATATCTGATCAAAACTGTTTTGTCATGAATTATTTAGTTACATAAGCATCAAAATATTTTACAAACGTGGTTAAAATTGTTCAAAATATAAATTATTTTCCATTATACGTTTCTTCCAAATTTGGAATTGTTCAACATACAATGATTTGCTTTAAACTGTTAATAACATATACATTTAATTTGCTAAAAACATATAAATCTAATGAGTTGTAATGGAAGATTTTATTGAAATCTATAAAACTTTATAAGCGCTTAGAAATAAATTATTTAGAGATTTTTAAGCTTTTAAAACCTTTAAAAATTAATTTTAATTAGAAGTATTTGTATTTGCCGTAACTCCTTGGCCCACGTTTAGTTTCTTGCTAGCTGGGTATTCTTTATAAAAATCACGGCCGTTTCCAAAAGAAAAATAGAAGTATTTGATAGCAAATTAACAGTTTAATAAATAAATGTTAATAAGAAACTATGAATCTCTACTTACTGAGTCCGCTGAGTTATTCCAAGTAGACAAGAAATTTATTTCTTGATCAGTAGGCTCTTTAAAAATCCACTTATGATTGTGATCTGCTGCTACTTTCCCAATTAACCTGAAAAAATATTTAGAAAATATAAATGAACACCTCTTAATATATATATATATATATATATATTATATATATATATATATATATATATATATATATAGGAATAAATATTAGGAACAGAGAAAGAAATGAAGAAAAAGCAGTAAATTGAAAAAGTCCAAAAATACCCTTCACCGTAATTGTAAATTTCGTGGGACATTTTGAAGAAAAGCTCCGGTTGAAGGCCTTGATATTGTTGGTACTCATGGTTTGAATACGGTTGACAGTCACCGGAGTTTGTGTCTGCAGCTGTTGAGGCTGCGAAATTACAAAAACCATCCTCCCATGCTAGGATCCTATTTGTTTTAAATTAAGAAATCAATCATCGGATAAAATTTGCAAATAATAAATCAATTGACAATATTTCATATGATGAAATTAATTAGGTTGGATTAAATTAGTAAAAATACAGTTAATTATAAACGGAATATATTTCTTGAAATTGAAATTTAATGTACCAATTTCTTCGGTTGCCTCTTGACCTATCATAAGCTCCACCTTGAGCATCCCATCTATAATTTATTAAGAAAATGTAAGAATATAAAAATACAATTTCATAATTTAATATTTGTTTGTGGGTGAGATTAGCTGATTAGGGTATTTTTAGTTAAATCCTAGTTAAGTAATTAAATAGAAAAATTTACTTGGGAGGAGGGTAGTTTCTAGGCAAGATCCTCCAAAAAACAGCATAAACCCACTGGGAGTTTTCATGAATACAAAAGCTTCTGAGTGTGTGTTGAAGAAGATGAGTTACTGTTGATTGGCTTAGCTCCTCCATTGCCCTTCTCTCTTTCAACTTTCTCCCTAAAACACACACTTGTATCTATCTTTTTCTCTAGAAGAAGTGAAAACTAGACACCCTTTTCTCCTTTATATAATGCCTCCTGCAAGGGAGTTTCACTTCTCTCTCTCTCTCTATATATATATATATATATATATATATATATATATATATATATATATATATATATAATTCGGTTCAAATAAGAACGATTATAAAATGAAACCGAAAACATGAAAATAAATGTTGACAATCAATTTTAGAATGCTATCTTTATAGAAATGTTTTTTTTGAAAAAAATAAAATTTTAAATTTTACTTCTAGATAACATAACATTAATATCGATCTAATATATTCTTATAAAAATATAAATTCTTTTTTATTATATATATTAATCACATTGATTACAATTTGCTATTCATATATTTTATTCACATTTGATTAAACTATTCATATGTTATTATAAAAATACTTCATTTATATATTTGAAAAATGATAAACATACATTTGATTAAACTATTCGTATGTTATTATAAAAATACTTCAATTATATATCTCAAACATGATAAAGATACAAACTTTTTACACGTCAATTTTTTTTATCATAGAAAACCTTTGCATCAATTTTTTTTATCATAGAAAACCTTTGCATCATTACGTTTGGATTACAAATTTAGAATAATAAATTCCAATCAGTATTATCCAAAATTTTATGATTCATCTTATTTCAACTAGAGGAAAACTTAGAGAATGTAGTATTTTAGTGCTAGCATGAAGATGTGGAATAATAACAAAATAAGAAGCTTTGACAAAGAATTTCAACTACTACATATCACAATTGCAAATGAAGATATCAGAAGATTTTGATCATAAGGAGACTTGGAAGAAGTATGGTTATGTAAAATTTGATTTGAATGCACCATTTACTAGGATAAAAAGCCTTGTGCATAGGATCATGCATCAAGTAATAACAAACACCATTGCTCATCATGAAAATAGTGATCTAGTGTGTCGCAATGATCTTTTTTTAGATAAGATTTTAACATTTGAAGAAGACGTGAATGTTCCATATTGTCTTGCATTTTACTTAGGAATCCATAAAAAGGACCACCATATAGTAAAATAATTGTTGGAGGGTATGTCCCAGAAATTATGGATATGGATTTTCTCAAATCCATTGATGCTTTTAAGGAGATTCATGATTTTACTAGGTTGAAGAATATAAATGAGGAAAGTGAAGAAAAAAAAAGTAAATGAAAATAAAGGGGAAACTTCTATGAAGAGGTAGTGGCAAAAGAGAAAAAGAAAAGGTAAATGTTAGGGAGGAGAAAACTAAATTTTTTGAAGAAGTGAAAAAGTCAATCATTAGGGGCGCTAACAATGAAGAAACAATTAAAGGGATAATGCTAACACTTTCAAATATGAGAGATCATATTGATGGACTTCACAAAATGTTAGATCGGGCTATAAATGAGATATTGATTTTAAAAGTAGATAATGACAAAACCACGACCAAAATCTACAAGTGAGGATGCAAAAACCGATAATGATGAAAGCATGGAAGAAAAGATTGAAAGTGAATATGAAACCGAAGAAGATCCAAGTGATGATGAATACTATAAGGATAAAATAGGGAAAAGTTTGAAAAAGAATTATCGGATAGAGAACCATCATATTTGCTTAATAATGATGACCTAATGGATGTTTACAACATTTTCGATAATGAAGATTGAAAAGAGCACCAAATGGGGATTTTAATTATTTTAGTTATTTAAGTTAGTTTAGTTTTTTAGTTTCTAAGTGTGTTTAATTTTCTTGTTTTCTATTGGAATAATGCAGCCAAGTTTTTTTTTTTTTCTCTATATTTTGTTTTGCGATCTAGGACTCAACTGCAATTACTTCAGATGTATACATTTATGGAGAAGAAATAACAACAAGACTAAGTGAGGGGTTAACATGCTACAAAAAGGAGCTTGATATGCCTACAAGAAGAAGGGAGTTAGTGCCTAATCAACACAAGCCTCTCTATCTATGTTTGAAGAATTAACAAAGCTCACTGAACAAAAACCGCGCCAAGAATATACCGTTAGTGCCAAGTAAATGTACAAATTATCAATCCAGTGTTTCAGATGACATTTCATGCCGATACCTGATATTCTCTCTGAGAATTTATGCTGAAGAATAAACGCAAGATTTTGAAGAACTGTTCAGTAGTTTCATAACAAAAGAGGAATCATGAACTCATGCTATAAGAAGAAAGGCAACTACATAACAAGGGGATTATTATTCTTATCTTTACCTTAATTTTTACATTTATATCCAACGAGGTCGTTGCATATTTTACGTGTAGCGTAGACATTATGAATTATAGAAAATTACTAATGATAAAAAGAATAATTACAAGATTATTTATAAAGATTAGAATCTAATTTTTTATTATAAACTATTGATAACGCAAAACAAGTTCGACATATATATTTGATGGCTATGTTATAATATATATGTGGCTTTCTAACTTTAGTGAAATCATAGAACAAAAATGTGAACTTGTCTTGTATGCTGGATATTATAAATTTTGCAATGTTTTCTAAAATGTACCCCCACCTAAAAACCTTATTCAATCAATAAGGTTTGAGGTTAAGTTCTAAATAGATTAGACAGGAAGGAAAGAAAATATCCAAATATGAAATATGTGAAATATTGTAGAAATTAAGAATTTCTAGTTGAGCTCAAGAGTAGAAGTCAATTTGTGACCTTTGGAATGAAACAAAAATTTATACATATATATCTTCCACATAAAGTCATGGACTTCTTTTAATGGATCTTAGGAGTAGCAAAAATAAGTATCCAAAAATCTCCCATAGAAAGCCATGAGCTAAAACTAGTAAATTTGGTACGAAATATATATGTATCAAAGGAAAATATGTACCAAAAGGAATGTGGAAGCTAGTATCTCAAAAAGAAATATCAAATGGGATAAAAAAATGTATGATAGCTTGATAAAAATATATTGAGATTGAATGTTTTTATTAAAAGGGTATATTTAAAGGAATGTAGAAGTAGGTAATGTTCATAGTAAGTAGTAAACATTTATGGAAATTGTGAGTATTTAAAGTTGAGAAAGTTATTTAGGATTAGACATATATATGCACATAGAAATTCAATATATGTGGAAGATTTAAATTAATTGTTATTTTGAAATTTAGTTGATTTAATAATAATTTGCTTGAGGACTAGCAAAATCTAATTGTGAGGTATTTTGATATGTAATTGTCACATCCCTAATTTTCACAGTCAAATAAAAAATTTTCTTTATGCTTATTTAAGATAGAGTATCTTTTTGAAGAATATAATAGTGTAAAATTTGTCCCAAAACATTTTTCTTATAAGGTAAATTAGAGTCAAAACATTTTCAAAGAAATATTTTAATATTAAAAACTTCGGATGTCAACCATGATATAGAAACGTAAGCATAAACTAGTTATTAGACGCTTCACAACTTTTTATTACACTAATGGCCTTAAACTCCTTAAATCTCTCGGTAGATTAAAACATCACTATCCATGTACCTTCGTACCGCTACCTGTGATACGAAAACTCCGACTTTCATTTATATTGGTTTGGTTAACAATCAACCGATTTTTATTTCGATTTATGTGTCACACAATGCTGTACTGTGTCGCATCGAAACATTGAAAAATCATAACTTCCTCATACAAATTCAAATTTCAGTGTTCTTTATATGTATGGGCTCGTGATCACGATCTCTACTACTTTTGTTTAGATTATTTATCCTAAATAATCTTTTAACTTTTATAATTTATTCAGCACTATTTATTAAGTTTTAAAATAAATTTTTATACAAATATTATATACATAATATTTGTCGAATTTCGATACATACGATATATATATATATATATATATATATATATATATATATATTATATATATATATATATATATATAGGGTTAAGTTCAAATGAGAACACTATTTAATGTGAGAACACTACTTTATGTTACTATTCTACTATGAATTTAATATGTATAGTATTGTAGTAATTATAATATGAATATATTCAATTTTATATTGCTATTCTACTATAAAATTTATATATATATATATATATATATATATATATATATATATATATATATATATATATATATATATGTAGTAATTTAGTAAATTCTAATGTGAATGTTAAATATGTGATTGTTCATATATTCGGTGATGAATAATGTCATAAAGTTTTACATACAAAATTTTAATGTTAATATTAATGTGTGATTGTTCGTATATTTGTTGATGAATAATGCAATATCGTTGTATATACAAAATTCATAGTATAATAGTAACATAAAGTAGTGTTCTCACGTTCTCACATTAAATAGTGATCTCATTTGAACTTAACCCTATATATATATATATATATATATATATATATATATATATATATATCATATTTATAATAACACATATTATATTCGAATAATACTCTTTCATTTATTCATAAAGTTACAGCGTAAATACAAATTTTATAATTAATGCCTTGCGAGAAAAACGAACGTTACAGTAATGAATTATACATATTTTTATCGACATATTTAATACCTTTTTACACAGTTTTATAGAGATTTGATACTTAAATGATAACAAATTTGTATTGCAGATTATAAGAACTAAAAGATGAAATAGAAGATATTTTCAACATATTATGTAAGAAATTCGTAGCTTGAAGACTAAGCAAGATTTAAATTGAAGATATCACTAGAATAATAGAAGATTTTGAAGAATTCTAAAGATCTTCTAATTCGCGCCGCGATTTATGTCGGTCTAAAAAAGATATAAATAAAACTAATTTTCGTAAAATCAAGAGAGGTTAGAAGATTTGGAAAATTTTTAGAGAAAAAAAAGAAGAGATGGAGGTTTAGGGTATGTCAAGAATCCTAGAAGAAGCAGAAATGAATTGAAGACATATGCAGTTGAAGATCTAGAGAATTTTGGTTTGCATTATGTTTAATTTCTTTGTTCTTATTAGTTATTTAGTTTTGGATTATGGGCTAAGTCCCTATACTTTTGATTAGATGTAGAAGATCTCTA